CACAGATTAGTAGCCTATTTGACATTACAACTTTCGGATGGCCTAAGAGGAGAGGAAAGATTATGTAGCAATGTGTTAGGGCAGCTCTAGTGTGGACACTTTGGGAGGAAAGAAATGCTGGAACATTCAATGGTAAGGAGAGAGATGAGGTTGCGGTTTGGAAATGTCTACTCAACAGGGCTATAAATTAGATTAAAGCCTCTGACTTCTTTTCACATTACTCCTTTGATGACTTATGGCAGAATTGGGGACTGATTGCAAAAGGCTCAACTGTCAAGAAGAAGCCTATGAAAGAGTGGGGGGCCCCTAAAGAAGGATTTATCAAGTTGAACTTTGACGGATGCAGCTTAGACAATCCGGGTCCGTCTGGTATTGGGGGTGATCAGAAATGTATATGGTCACATTTTAGCTTATTCTCAGGTCCCATTGGAGTACGGAATGTTGTGAATGTGGAAATCCTTGTAGTCTTACAAGGAGTGGAGCTTGCTAGAGATTTGGGCTTTGGCAGATTACTAGTTGAAGGTGACTCTAAACTGGTAATTGGGTGGCTAAGGGAACCAGAGAAAGCGCCTTAGTCATTTAGGGGGGCTTTGCGAAGAGTTAAATGGCTAACCACAAGCATTGAAGTAAGGCTTCATTGGGAAAGAAGATCGGCCAATGGTGTGGCAGATTGTTTAGCTAAGCAAGGGGTACACAAGAATCAGTTATTTTGGGTACAGTTGTAATATGCTTTTTACTCATTGAGATTGCAGCTCGCACCTCTGTGGTTGAAGTTTCCACCTTGTACCTTTATCTTGTTATTCTTTAATTTCAATAAAATCATATCTTATCAAAAAAAAAAATCTACCTCGGGTTGCTGTGCTATGGTGGAAAGGAACATTGTTTCATGGAGGAGTAAGAATCACTCTATGGTGGCTAGATCTTCTGATGAGACAGAGTACATGGAAACGGCCCATGGCGTTTCAGAGTTGTTCTTGACAAAGGGAGTTCCAAAAGGAGAGAGGATTGATCAAACTCTCTTCTCCTTCTCCCTTCTTCTCTCATCTTCTTCTTCTTCCTCTTCTGATGTCTCTTATTTCTTTTTTATTTTTCTTTCTAATTTCATATCATATTGTTATTTTTATTGAACTGATCCACATCTTATACCTTTTGTGAAAAGGAGAGGATCACTTGTATCAGTACTGATTGTATATGTTGATGATCCTATGGTTATAGGAAATTATTTAGGCTCCATTTGGAAGGAGTACAAATACAAATATGTAAAGCACAAAGCCTTATATTTTGTATTATTTTGTATAGATTTGTACTGTACATATTTGTATTTGTACTCCTTCCAAACTAAGCCTCAAGTAAGATTGATGCATTAAAGAAGTCATTACAGTAGGAATTTGAAATCAAGGATCTAGGTGAGCTAAAGTATTTTCTGGGCATTGAGGACGCAAGATCCAAACGTTGGATATTTATCTCTCAGAGGAAGTATGTATTGGATTTACTACAGTAAACTAGGAAGCTTGGAGTCAAACCAGCCAATACTGCTATTGATCATAACCACAAAATTAATGCCTCAGATGGTGAGTTAGTAAAGGATGTAGGGAGGTATCAAAGGTTGGTGGGCCGCCTACTATATTTGTGCATGATCCATCAAGATATCTCCTATGTTGTTAGTGTTGTGAGTCAATATATGCATGCTCCTCGAGTTTAGCACCGAGTGGCTATTGATAGGATTCTTGCATACCTAAAACAACATCCCAATAGGGGAATTTTGTTTATTGATCATAGACACTTGATATTGGAGGCCTATCCATATACAGATGCAGATAGGGTAGGGTGCCTAGATGACAGGAGATTAGGGGTGTTCACATTAAATGTCAAATCGACCAAACCAGCCCGACCCAACCTGAGTCGGTCGGTTTTTCAAAATCGCTGGTCGTTTCGGTTTGTATGAAAAAATAAACCGACAACTCGGTTCAGTTTTGGTTTTCATGTATGAAAACCAAAGCCAAACCAAACCAAACCGATCCTATATTTTTAAGTAATTATTAATTAGTCCCTACCCTATATGTTAAATGTTGATATATTTTATTTGTGTTTTGTTTGAACTTTAAAAAAAAATGGTTATTTTTATGATAAAAACGAAAAACGCAAAACCAATACAAATATAATACAATGGTACAATATTTAATTCAGTTTTGTATAAATTTAAATATATATTGACAAAAAATCAGTTTTGCATAAAAAATTAATTGATTTAAATATATATATATATATTTTGGTTTTGCATAAAAACTAAAAAGAAATAAACTTAAATATAAATAGATATTTAGATATAGATATTTTAGTTTAAAATATATATAAAAACCGACTAAACTGATAAACCGACCCTTCATGTTTGGGTCGGTTTTTCTTCAAGGTCAGTCGGTTTCGGTTTAGTCAATGAGTAAACCGACTAGGTCAGGTCGGTTGAAAAAAATGACTCAAACCGACCCAACCCGACCCGTGAACACCCTTATAGGAGATCTTCATCAGGAGTTTACACCTTTATAGGAGGCAATATGGTCTCATGGAAAAGTAAAAAGCATTCAGTTATGGCTAGATCAAGTGCAAAAGCAAAGCACAAATCTATGGCACATGGTGTCCTAGAACTTCTTTGGATTAGGTCGTTAAATGAACTTAGGATTGTTGCTGAGGAACCTATGATGTTGTATTGTGATAATCAAGTCACAATCAACATTGCCCATAATCCAGTTCAACATGATAGGACAAATCATATCGAGGTTGATAGACATTTCATAAAGGATAGGGTAACAACTGGAGAAGTCTGCCTACCGTATGTCTCTTTTGACTCACAATTGGATGATGTCTTTATCAAGGGAATTACAAGGAGCAAGCTTGAACATGACCTACACAAGTTAGGAATGTGTGACATTTACTCCCAACTTGAGAGGGAGTGTTGAGGATTTCTTGTTAATCACTTAATTGTTTATTTTTGTTTAGTTAGCATGTTGGGACCACAGCCCTTTAGTTAGGAGCACTTTTAAGTAGTAGCTTGTTTTTATTTGTAAGTTGTTAGTAGTAGACACCTCATCAAGGGTATATTGGACATTGTACATGTTGTTTCTTTAAGTATAAAAGCTAATGAGAGGGACGGCCAATATGATTGGCTCCTCTTCTCTTTCTCCCCTCTTTCTCTTCTTTCTCTTCTTTCTCTCTCACAAATCTTCTCCTTCCTTCTCTTCCTTTTCTTACAATTTTTACATCTTCAGAGTTCTGCTGTAATTAAGCATCCAATATTGAATCTCCTAGTTCCCCTGTCCAAACAATAGCATTTTAAGACAATTTCAGCCACTATAGCTCCCTTGAAAACAATAGAGTAGGTCTGGTAGAGAGCAATTTCTTTTTCGATAAGTAACGCTGACTTGACTAGCAGAGAGCAATTCCAATCTTACGTAAACATTAAATCATGAAATGGATCTAAAATATGTGAACATGATCACTACTCCAATATCTAATAGACCAGTAAATAACACCCATCAAATTCAGCTTGATGATGTTCCCAGTGTAGTGTACCTACCCCTGCTGTTTCACCAATCTATGAGGATCAGATGTTATCACAGCACCCCATATCTAAGCATCACATCAACTGTAATGCCACCTCCATGGTCTGTACCTAATGAATAGCTAGAATGCTTTGAGGAGTCATTTTATTGTAATAAAATGTTCTAAATTAGTTCCCTCCCAGATTGCCCAAAGAAAGTCATGTAGCATCAATTGCAATGCCATCTCCAGGGTCTGCACCCAATAAATAACTAGAATGGTGATAGTCTCCTTTCTACAAGCTTTGCAGAGTCTTCTTATTGTAACAAAATGTTCTAACCTCCCTGGTTTTCCCAAAAAAATAACATGGATTAATGCTCTCCACATTAACCTCTGCACTGTTCTATACTCCAAAAGGGTGACTAATAGAACCAGTCCCATATCATGCAATGGGTTTCACTATTTCAAAAATCAATACAAGACAAAGTGCATTGGACTGGACAAACAGATTAATAATGTTGATCAAACTCTCAAAATCAACTAAAACTTTTTAGAGAACTATACAATACCTTCTAGAATTTTAAGATCATCAAGTTTCTTAAATATTGTACCCAGATCCATTGTTTCATTGATCTCCAGTAATGAAAGAGATCAAGAACTAGGGAATTTGGACATTTTTTACTTCTCAACTGTTGAACAATATGATTGCATAAATTTTCTTCAAGTTTTATAGTTGCCAGAAAGCTCCAGGGTGCTCTTGAATAAAGAATGTGGTGACAAACACCTGTTCCTTGTCACGCAGCATTTAGTGAGATTTGGGTGTAACTCATTTTGTCAATGCTATGCTTTTAGCAGCCTCCTTCAAGAAACATGTTCAGCTTATTTGAAATTGAGCAGAGCTTGGTATGCCTGGACTGCTGAGGGAGGTTTTCCCCTTTGCTCCCCATTGGACAATCAGAAGGTTTGCAGTGAGTTCTTCTAGTGTAGGTTATGGCCGATAAGTTGGTATACTAAGAAATAGCGTTGCAGTAGCTTCCAATTCAAGAACTTCAGGAGGGTAAGAGATTTAAATTCTTTAAAATGATTAGGTGCAATTTCAAAAAGAAGTCAAAAGACAGTAACACGACGTAGATATTTGGAAAAAAAAAAAAAAAAAACATGGGGATATTCTCAAATGTTAACTGGGGTCCAATAATCTCCAAGACATCCAATGGGCTTATGGGCAGGACTATAAACACCACTTCAAAACTATCCCTTTTAAGAACCTTATTTTCAATAACTTCAGGGTTGAAGAACGATGCTTGGAGGGAGAATGATGTTTGTATAGATTGCAGGCAAAACACACATTGTGTCAAACAAGATATTGGCAAAAGCGCGCCATTACAAGGAAATTCGCATTAAGAATCATGTTACAAGTGAAAAAACGAAAGCTATTGAAATTATGAAAGCACTTGCCCTTCACTTACAGTGGAAAGCTGAGGGGGCGGGGGAGGGTAGAGCGCGTTATTGGAAGGAGGGTATTGATCGAGCACGGAAGGTAAGTACATGACCCCTGTTCCATGGTATCCTTTGTTACCATCGAGCGTTGAGATCTCTGGACCGATCCCGCAAACAACAAAGTACTCGAAGATCCGAGTCATCGCTTGCCTCCTCTACCAGCAATTAACTAATAAAGCAGCTACCTCTGATCTGCTGCTCTCCTCAATCTCTACCTGTACCTTCCATCCAATGTTGTGAGATCTGCCCCAACCCGATTTTTTTTTTTTTCCTCTACTGTTCTCCTTCGATAATTCTACTTTGCGATCGAGAGACTAATGAAGAGATCCAGTTGGCATACATTGAAAGGGCGGGAGATGGCGAAAGGAGAAGAAACAATAATAATTACATGTGATTTGGTTTTTTAACAGGCTCCGGGGAGGGGAAAGTTGATTTGCCGGTCATTTTCTCAATTTCCGTGAATGTCTTGAAGGAAAAAGAATAAAAATAAAAAATTGCTATTTAACAGGCTCGGTCATTTTCTTTCTTAATTTCAGACTGTGCTTGGTTTGAAGGAAAAAGTAGGGAAATGAAGGAAAATGTAGGGAAATTTATACAAGGTTTGTAAAGATTTTCCTACATTTCCCTTCCTTTCCCTACTTTTTTCCTTCAAACCAAACATATCCTTAATGTATTACAAAGAAAAAAATAAAAAATAAAAATAAAATGGATATTTGGCTTTTAAAATTTGAGGGGCCAATTTAGCCCTCAAACTAAGATGGTGTTTTGAAGCGTGGGCATTTATTGGAACCGATTTTTAAGAAAAAACGTCCATGCTTCCAAGATCCATTTTTCACAAAAAAAAAATCTTTAATTTTGTTTGGGAGTGTTTCTGCCTAGGGGTGTAAACGGTATTCAAGTATCCGATTTCGAATACGATATCCGATGTAAACGAATCAAATTCATATTATTCGATTAATTTAATGGTCAAATTCGAATTAAGTTTTAATACCGATTAATTTATCAAATCGAACTCGAATATAGGTTGATTCAATTCGATAAAAATTCAAATTCGATTAAATATAAATATAATATATATTAAATATAAAATATATGTAAATATATTGTAATATAAGATTTCGTGTCTTATACATTTAATACTCTTACACCTTTTCAGGAAAAAGGTGTAAGAGTATCATCAAAGACAATTAAAGATGTTACAGCCTTTTTAGAAAACTGACAAAAATCAATAAATGTACAACAGTCATTTTGATTTTTTTTTCCATCGAAACATGCATAATCCCTCTTCATTTTTTATATTGTTTTTTTCACTGAGACATGCATAGCCCTTTTGTCTTCATCGAACCTCTCCCCACAACTCTTTCACTTTTACAAACTCTTATTCTCCCCATCTTCTCCCCTTCTCCCCACAACCCCTCTGCCTTCATTGAAACATGCATAACCCATTTTCATGATCATGCTTCTCCCCATCTCCGTCTCATCTCCCTCTCCCCTAGTCATGGTCGTCTTATCATAACTTGCAATCATAGATTCAGAGGTAGAAGAAAAAAAGGAAAGAGCATCGGGTTTCATCGAAGACAAATGAGCTTCATGGCGTTATTCACTTATTCTAACTTCTTCCATTCAAATATCAGTTTTCTCTGTTACTTTATATCTCTTTTTTATTTTTAGATTTTTCAAGTGCTTTCTGCTATTATTTTCTTCTTATTCTAGTCTTTTTGAGGCATTTTCTATTTTTTGCTCACAAGCCAAGGGGTTTTCTTCTTGTGTAATCTAATTTCAAGATTTAGGATTTTTAATATTTATAAAATCAATCGAATTTGAATCGATTCGAATATTTGATATTTTAATCAAAATCGAATCGGTTGGAATTTTTGAACATCTGACGAATTTCGAATCGAAATCGAATAAGTTATTTTGTAATCGGAATCGGAATCGAATTCGAACATGGCCTTATTCAATTCGAATCCGCTTCGTTTACAGGCCTATTTCTGCCACGTAGGCAGTGAGCAACACTATGCTGTTTGGTAAGGTGATTTTCATTGCCGTTGGGGGGAACGATTCACTGATGCATGAAACGCCAAATTTGACATTTCATGCATCGGAGGGGTCCCGATTTACGAGGCATGCTCGATTTTTGAATAAATGCTTGAACCAAACAATGAAATACATGGGCGTTTGTTGAATGAGGTCGGATCTCATGCTCACGGCTTCCTACCCACGTCCCTATCCACGCCATAAATTTTGGGCACACGTCCACTAGTATGTGCCTCTTCTTCACATGTGCATAATTGCATGTGAATTCAATGGGATGTAATGGGACGGACGTTAAGTCCATCCCGTCAAAACTCACCCATTAACCCAATTAAAAATTTAACCTAAAAATAATTAACCTTTCCCCTTCCCAATAACCCTAATAGTCTTGTTCTCTCTGTTCCATTCTCCACAATGTACTGTTCTAAGAAACTTCATCGGCATCCGGCAATCAGAAACCGACAACCGGCAACGTGTTCACCGGCATCTTATTCTCTCTGTACTCCACCGATTAACCTTCTTCTTCTATTCTCCATAACGTCCTGTTCCAAGAGATTTCATCGACATCCGACATCCGGCAACTGGCAACTAGTGAGAAGAACCTGGTTAGAAGAACTATAAGAAAATAATGCTCAATTTTTTCTTGTATTGGCTGAGGTTACTTAACCACCGGTGTATCGATGAGCACATCCTCAATTGTCGGCTGTAAGATGTTGGTAAAATCTCTTGGAGTAGGAGGTTATGGAGAATAGAAGAAGAAGGTTAACCGGTGGAGTACGAAGAGAATAAGATGCCGGTGAGCATGTCGCTGGTTGCCGGTTGTGGGATGCCAGTGAAGTTTTCTGGAACAGTACGCTGTGGATAATGGAATTGAGAGAATGAGAATACTAGGGTTCTTGGGAAGGGGAAAGATTAATTATTTGTAGGTTAAAAAATTAATTGGGTTAATGGGTAAGTTTTGACGGGATGGACTTAACGTCCGTCCCATTACATTCTATTGAATTCACATGCAATTCTGCACATGTGAAGAAGAGGCACATGCTAGTAGACATGTGTCCAAAATTTATGGCGTGGGTAGGAAGCTGCGAGCAAGAGATTCGGCCTCTTGTTGAAATTCCTGTGTGGATCCGATGTGGCACCGTTTTTTTTTTTGAAAAATGGCCACGGTTCCAAACATCCCCTAAGTTGAAAGATCGTCATTAGGTTCATCTAAATGATGAATAAAATAATAAGAAATATTGACGTAATATTATTAAACTGAAAAATTGCAAGTGGGTCTCATTAGATAAAATAAAATTTATTTAATGTAAAACTGGTAAATGTTAAAAATAATATACAAATTAATGAGTTCACTAAATTATAGGTGGATCTTACTTGAACTTCCTCTCTTTAGCAAAAAATAATAGGTGGACCCCACTTTAAATTATAAGTGGGACCTACTTGTAATTTCCTCTTTTGAGAAGAATATAATAGGTGATTCCCACTTTAACTTTCCTCTTTAAAGAGAAAACTAATAGATGAGTACCACTTGAAACTATACTAGTAATTAAGTACATGCATTGCATGTGAGAAATTTTTCTTGATTTTAATTGTTTGAGTTTTAGATATATCATTGTTAAGATAGAAATTCAAAATCAATAAAAATGATAATATGATTAAAATAAACTTAAATGTTTGTAGTAAATTTGTAGATGCATTGCACATGTTAAATTTAAATTACAATAACAATTATTATTATTGTTGTTGTTGTTGCTGTTGTAACATTTTTTATTCCATTTCCATCATAAATAAAAATAATTTTGATTTTAACAATTATAATGAGTTTCTTTAAAAAGTTGGATTATTGACTCACCATCTAGATAAGAACAAATTTTTGTTTTCAAATAAGTTTTAAATTATATATTTCATTTATGTCATATAAATAATTTATACATATCACACCCACTTTTTGTTTGGTATAATTAATATATAATTTTATATATTTTTTATTACATACATTTTTTATTTTTTAAAGATTTATTATTTAATTATCATATCATCGATTAGTCTATTTGACCTAAACCACTAACCCACCACCCAAAAAGGAAAATGGTTTGATTTATAGGTTGAGATTAAATTTTGTATTAAATTGTTATCATTCGTAAAGTTATTTCTTATGTAAAATACTTATTTTTGTTCAATATAATGAATGTATAATATTAGAAATGTACCCAATATTTTATTTTTTATAAATATATAACACTAGATATGTGCTCAAAATTTTATCTTTTTTTTTTTATTTTTGTGATTCTTTGTATTTTTTTTATTTTTAAAAAAGTTTATTGTTTACTATGACATCATTTCATCTATAGGTTGATTTTAAATTTGGCATTCAATTTTTATCATTAATAAAAATATTTCTTACATTTCATACTTATTTTTGTTTAATATAATGCATATACAATATTATAGATATGTCCAATTCTTTTGTTTTGTATTATAAATTTTAATTTTTTGTTAATTAATTATGGCATTGTTTATTAACCCATTTGATTCCAAATGTTTGAATTTCTTACTCATCACTGGGAAGGAAGAAAATGTTTTGTTTTCAAATTACTTTTCAAAATTTTTATTTCTATACTATTAAAATTAATATTGTGGATTTAATTTATAAAATTTAGTAATTTGAAAAAAATGTCTTAAATATAGGATTTAATGAGAGAATATACCTTAAATATGAGATTGTTTGATATGTCAAATATATTATACAATGTTTAATATGAGAGAATATATTTTACATTCCATTTCCACCATTAATAAAAACAATTTTTATTTATCGTACTTATTTTTCTTTAATATGTGGAATATATGATGTTAAAAATGTTCCCAATTTTTATAATTTCTATATTTTTTTGTATTTCATATATTTTTAGGTTTTATTATTTAATTGTGAAACATGGATTGACCCATTTGACCCAAAATAGTTTAATTTCTTACCACAATTTAAATAAAAACGCTTATTTATTATGTAAGAATTTGATTAAAAAAAATTAATGATGAGAAGAAACAAAAATGCCTTAAATATATGATTTAATGAAGGCGAATGCAAGTTAATACCTTAAATGTTGGATTTAATGAGAGTGAATTGAATGCATTGAATATCTTAAAATTTCCTCTTTTAAACTCATTTAATATCAATTACTAATTACCCTATTCACCCTCATTTTTTATAAATAAATTTAAATATAGAGGGTAAATTTGGTACGTAAAAAATTCAAAAAATATTCTAAAGTAGTATAGATATAGGCCTCATCTCTCTCTTTCTCTTGTCCGAATCTCTCTCCCCTCTCTTCTCCTCAAATCCACCCACCACCAATGTTGCAACTCTTGGCAGCAGTAGTTAACAATCCCCCTGTGTCAAACATGCATGCATGATGTG